AGTTTGATGGAGTTTTACATGCCAACAAGCTGGACACATCTCCCGTCCTGGTTGAGTTGAGGCCTGATAGATCCAAACTGCCTGCAAAGGCGTGTCCTTCGCCCAAATCCTTCTCAGGCATGCTTGGTGCCGTGACAAGGAAACCTATCAGCCACATATTCATTTCACTGTGGTGTACTAGCCCGGGCCTGTACAGATTCAAGGTGAAGAATAACGCACCCTGCTTGATGACATTACATCAATGCTGCAAAAGCTTGGTGGCAGAGCACTGCCATCATGGTTTTGAATTGCAGACCTTCAGCTTGCAGGCAACCTGGTGCATGCATACGTTCTGTCTACCCCAACAGCAGCCGAGTGTAGTTACATTACTAACAAACTAGTTACTGACAGCAGCTGCACAGTGAACCTGGAACTGGAACGCGGTACCCCGACCACCTGACACCTTTTCTGATATTGTTGACCTGTCAGTTTTAGATTGACAGTCTTTGGGCATTTCATTTCTTTTGACACACTTGGGCCACATCTTTTTAGCCAGCGCATAAACATAAACTAATTGCCAGAGTTCTCACTTACTGAATCTGAAGGATAGACGTCGACTTTCGTTCTTACAAGTCTACCTTGCCCTGGTCCAAGGTGAGGGTCTACAAAGATGTCACCTTCATTGAATCCACGGGCCCGACAGATGTGTTCGCTTTGTCGCCCAGTTCCCCTCCAGCGCTAGATTTTACAGTGGGCCAGTCGTTTGGGGAGAAGAGCAAGCGGCCTGCTGAAGGGCCTGCTCCCAGGGCATCTACATTGCCATTTGGCCTCAGTGGCTTGTTGAAGCCAGCTCCAAAGCCAGCTTCAGCTTCTTGTTCGAAGAGGCAGAAGACTACTCCGGCCACAACTTGTTTTGGAGCACAACTTCATGGTTCTGATCCTGGTGAAACTGGAGCTTCCGCTTCTGTTGCTGACCAACCGAGACAGGGAAGCGCCACGTCTGTTGGAGATTCAAGCCTGGGCGCAGGCGACTTTTTTGCTATGCTCTCAGGGTGGGCCAATCCTCAAGCAGAGAAAGGGTCGAAGCATGGTCCTGGATTGAAGATTTTTTTGTTTGGGATATGCCCTGGACGCGGCAGGACAGGGCAACCCCGGCGATATAGAAAGGACATATGACATGAAATAACTATGAAATCGCCATGGACTATGCAATAATGTTGAAAGGCTGTGGTCAAAATTGGTGAGAAGTTGGGACGTGAGAAGAAACGGGCCTCCACAGCTTCCACTGCTGAAACACGGTAGTGGTGGTTGGTGAACGTTAGAGCTGTCGTTGGCAGGTCGGAATGTGTCTACCACAGTCGAAATCAATCAAGGTATGAAAACGAAGAAAAACATTAAATCTCCCCGTCACACGTCAGCGACATATTGACATATAGATTATTCGATAACATGCAGATCATCAGCATTCTTTCCACAATCCCCTTTTGTCATACCTTTGGGCCTCAGGGGTATGAGGGTGAGACGCGCAGCCTTCTTTTGAACAATATTTTGCCTCCAATTGTCTCATTTTCTTTTTTTTGCAAACCTAAAAAGGTAACCTAGGCAAAACTTGAATAGTGTGTGTCTTTAGGAAAAATCTAAAGATAAACAAATGGCCTGAAAACTCTTTAACCTTCAAGGAAAGACAGGAAATTTGAACCAGCAAACTATCTAACAATCAAAAATGTTTGTTATTTTGTGTACACATTTTAATTTCTTTTCCTTCATGGGGTAGGCTACTGGCTCGTCCAACGGCTGCGTGAAGCGTAAAAAAGTTCTTCACCCCTCAAAGCCGCAGGGAGGAAACTCAAAAGTGTCGAAAGTTCCACCTGTCTCAGCTAGTCCGATGTTTGGAGCAGTGTCCAGCAGCTCTCCCCGGTCAGGGAAATGACACAGAGACACAGGAGAAAAAACGCGTAAAAAACGAGCCAGTTAATTGGCAATTCAAAATGTTTGGTTGGTCAAATTCCTTCATGTCCCTCGAACAATGGATAATAAAATCCTTGACCCCAACCCCGGGATTTATAGAAGTGTTTTTTCATGAAAACCAAGTACGTCCAGGACTTCAGAAATCGCCAAAAAAAAGATAAGCCTTTGAAAATTGGTCGTTGGTCCAGAACTTCAGAAAAGCATGTTATATAAGTCATGGTACTACTGAACTTAAGGGACATATGGTAGGTCGTGGTAGGTTAGAGACAGGATTCTATAAACACATGTCTTAACAGCCAGTTTTCCACTCCTGGGTTCGCGCGCGCCAAGCACACCCAAAAAACATCTCAAAAGGCGCGCGCGCGCGCGAACCCAGAAGTTGGAAATTGGCAATCTTAACGGGCACTTCGCCGGATTCTGTTTTTCTTTGCCGCCTCCACAGAGTCAATGCCAGGATTTAAATAAGACTTGAAACGATACTTTGAGAAGGCCGAGCGACCTTGGGAGAAGGGTTTTAATACATGGTCGGCCCAGGACTTTATAAACCCGAAATCTTGCTTCAAAAATGATGTCCAACCTCAACACATCTCAACACAAAAAATAAGGAAGTCACCTCAGTCCGAAAGGATTTTATAATAAAAGGCTGAGTTCAACCTTTAAGCATTATTCAAGGAATATTCCTTCATTTCTTGTCTTTCCTTGATGTTTGGCGTCTGTTTCACAAATGCCTTTAAGAAAAATCTAAACTTCAAGGAAAGGTAGGTGAAGGAATTTGACCGGCAAACTATCCAAAAAATAATGAGTTTTCACATTTTTGTTTAAAAATCCTAAATTTTAAGCAATGGCCTCAAAACTCTTGAAACATCAAGGGAAGACAGGAACTGAAGGAATATGACCAGGAAAATAAGTAAAAATTAAGTACCTGTTCTGCCGGTGCCCCTGGAGGTGGAAATCCGGGCCTTACCGGTAAGGCCCGGATTTAGGGCTGCTTTTGGGGGAGAGCGGTGTGCGGCAGCGGTCCGAAGTTTCGGGCCCCTCCGTGTGGCCGGACCCTTCGGTAAAACCGGTGTCTCGGTACCCCCCCGCGTAGAGATGCCCATGGCAGACCTCACCGGTCTCCCAGGAGAGGACCCAACACCGGTCTCCCCTGTCTCTGTCTCTATTTCCTTAACGGGGGGAGAGCGGTGTGCGGCCGGACCCCCCCCCCTCGCAGGACCTAACATCACATCTGCAAGAAAAAAAGGGCCGTCGGATCATCCGTCGGTATTCCCTTTACGGCGGCCTACCCCCGGTGGGACTTCGCTTACGGTGTGGGCTCCCATGGACCGTCTCTAAGGCCCGTTCCGAAAGGCCGGTGTTTGGGTAGGCCATTTCCCCAAATGAGCTGCTCCGTGGTCACCAGGACCTGTTCGGACCGCTGCTGCACACCGCTCCGCTCTCCCCCCCGTTAAGGAAATAGACACAGAGACAGGGGGAGAGGGAAAAAAAGTGTAGAAAAAGTAGCTAGTTAATTTTTATTTTTTTGTATTTTCCTGGTCATATTCCTTCAGTTCCTGTCTTCCCGTGATGTTTCAAGAGTTTTCTGGTGAGTTCCACACCACAGGTTCACTGACTGACTGACTAACGGACGGACGGACGGACGCACGGACTGACTGACTGACTGACTGACTGACTGACTCTTGGCCACGCAGAACTGCTTTGACAGCTCGATCGCCGGACAATCCAAAAATAGCTCCACTCATGTCAGCGCTTTTGTCGTGATCCGGAAAAGATGAGAGATGTGAGGAGAGGAGAGGAGAGGAGAGGAGAGGAGAGGAGCTTGGCCAAAGCAGTTTGGGAGCTGAAGCGTTTTAGCGGGGTTGGAGCTTGGAGGTGGAGTCCGCGGGTTTGGAGGTGGAGGACTAGGAGCTTGGAGCGAGGGAGCCTGGAGCCGTAACTAAACTGCGTGTTTGTGTTGTGGTTTTGCGTCCTGTATTTCATCATATTTCCCCAATCAAGAACCGACAAAGTCTTTCTCGATTCTTTTTTCTTCGTCTCCTGCGCTCAGTGTGTCGAATTTCCTGAACAAAAATAGGAACTCCTGGGTGGAGGGTGTGTGTGTGTGTGTGTGTGTTCACGCTGCGTGCTCATGTTGTGTGCTCATGCATCACGCCGAATCAGGACTGAATGCGCGGAGGCAGCAAATGGTGAGCGTGGTGAGCAAATGGACGCTTTCCCAGTTGAGCTGGATGACGAGTCCAAGCAGGAGTGGACTGAAGCAGTTCGTGCTGACGCAGAGCCGCCCACTCTTGATGCTGATGAACCAGTGGCTCCAAAAACTAATCCCACACCCGCTGGAGCCCTAGATGGAGATGGACCTGCAAGGGTCGGCCGCATCCAACATTCTTGCCTTGGGATCAATGGAGTTGATCATGTGAAGAGAAAAAACGTGAAGTGTTTCCACTGTAGTGGCACGATTGACAAGGGGAGTCCACGGTTCTCGTTAGTTGTCCATTTGCGGAAGCCCCCACGCTCTATACACACAGAATGCCTGGCACAATTGGACGAAGTTGTTTGCCAGAATTCAGCACAATTCTTGCGAGAATTCATCAGTGCTTCGTCTGACAGTAGCTTAGTGGCTGTGAGTCGACAAGCACTTGCAACGTTAAGTGGTTAGTGGTTTGGCAGAACTGGGTAGCTCAAGCTATATCTAGCTGCCTGATTGCTTTCACAGAGCATGTGCAAATTCGGTGGGAGGACCTGCAAAGCCGTCTAGTTTGCAGAAAACAAACAGATATGATATACACCCAGATTCTCTTGCAATTATATGAAGATATTGTTTCAGGCTGCTGGCAGGACGTCCGTGAACAGGATCAGGGGATTGCAGTGTGTGTTCTGCGCGCCACACGATTTGATGAGCAGACTAAAGGATCACTTCATTGTCATTGAACTCTCTTGGCGCTACTATGGCTGTTTTTGCTTCTTTTTGGTCGCGAGGACAAATATGGACAAATCACAAGATTCAACCTTCCATGCAATGTTTCCAAAGGTTCTCGTCGGACTTGCTTCTGCAGGCGCCGATTGACTTTGTACTACGTGGGAGTGTGAGGGAAGCAGGTACAGATCACGATGAGCCCATAGGGCTCCAACTTATACCAGGCTATGCCATGGATATGTTCCGGTTGAAGTGACTCAAATGGATAATTCCATGTTTTACCTTCTGAAACTTTTGATCTTCTAGTCACTATGCCCAACTTTTGAGTGACTGGCCTCATCATAGTGGGCCAAGGAGCAAAGATTTTGGCGCTGGCCAAACTAGATCACGCATCTATTTCATCATGGTGCACCACAGTGTTGGAGACCAAAACACCTTGGATACCTAGCCAGAATGCTGAGTACTTTGGATTTGTGGTCATTCTCACATCCGATGTGATGCCAGGCCGTTGCAGTCCGTGCCTCCAAGGACCACATTGGTGCTTTGCTGCAAACTTTCGCTGCGTCCATGCCAGCAACCTCTGTCTGGGACGCTGTGGACTACGTCAAATGCTGCAAGCATGATTGGACTCCAGAGGAAGAGGACCTTGTGCTTCAGCTGCAGCGTGCGTTAGGCGAACCTGTCGGAACCCGTCGGAACCTGTCGGAACCCGTCGGAGCTGGAACTCTTAGAGGAACGGGACCTTGTGGAGAACATGTTTAGGGGGTCCCTTAAGCTTAAGAGTTCTACTTCCGACAGGTTCCGACGGGTTCCGACGGGTTCCGACAGGTTCCGACAGGTTCCGACAGGTTCGAACAATGCTTGGTTGCCTGACTTGCTTCTGCCTTGCAGCAACTAACCTTCAAGAACTAGTGTTGGCATTGCATTGAGACAGCTTTGGCACCCGTGTGCGTCATGGAATTCTCGCTCCCTGTGTGCACTACCTGTGGACAAGAGGCCCGCTCTGTGGATCGATTCACAGGAGAGAGACAAGAAATTTTGTATTGGCCGAAGAAGAGAAAGGATCAGGCAGGGCTGGGTACAGGGCTGTGCTGTTCATGCAATTTGTCACCACTGCTGTTCCTTGAACTGAACCTGTGATTCCTGACCCATGTGCAGGATGGGAATCGCACAATTGAGGAGGGTTGTGAGTGCGGTAATTGCGGGGAACCTTGGCTTTAGTCTAACTTTGGCTCAAGTTGACTCGGGGCTGTTCAAGAAAACCGTGGTTTGTGAGGATTCACATTTAGTCCAACACAATCCGCAACTCAGGGAACCAGGAGGAACAATTTTGGTGGCATCAGCCAGCAAGGACTTGAAGCCGCTATGAAGAACAATGAGGCCTGACACTCATACTCATACCGATACTCTACCAGTCTTTGCATTTTTCAGGGTTCGCTCTGAATGACACTTTAAGCAGACTGCAAACTGATTGCTCCAGGAACTTACCGACAAGTGGCAGGAGAAACGTACTGAGAATTGTATGCCCCAAGCAGGCCGCAAGAGAAAACATGAAAACGTTGACTTGGAGAGCTACAAGAAAGAGAGCAAATTTGCCGAGTTCTGGGAAGAGGGAACTGTTCAACCGCTGAGCAATTTCCTACAAGACCATGACATCGATTGCGCGAATATGTCGGAGCAGCGCCAGCGTAAAATTGTTGAGGAGGAGAACTTGGGGAACTAGAAACAATGGAGTCAATGGAGTTCTAGCTTCTTCTAACTTCTAGCTTCTAGTCAACTTTCTTTCAACTCACACCTGTGAGAAACGACAAACAATAGGATCAGCTAAGCAGATTGCCTGTGCAACGCTTTCATCCAGGATTTTCAGATGAGCGTCCTGGAGGATAACGGGAAACTTGTGGTTGCGATAATGGATGGGACTCGGAAGGTGCGTTTGGGCAATCGCAGCAGTGTGTCGAAGAAGAAGGCGGGGCAATGGTAGAAGGTGTAGGCAATCCTTTGTTCTTCAGAGCTCAGGAAAACAATGTATATATATATATACATTCTATTTGACCATATTTATGTTATAAATATACCGTTATATAAAATATATCACACGTTGCCGAGGAATCGGAATCAATGATGCGTCTGCTATATATACGGTTCTATACACAAGTCATTCACAATTCTCCTTTTTTTTCTGCAGGCAGAGCATCATGACACCGGGGCTGCTGCTTCAGCCACCTATGCAGAGATGTCGGCTGGGATGGACGAGTTGAGAAAGCGCACCCACACTGCAAGGGAGGTTGAGCAGAAAGCGCAGGAGGTGCGGTCCAAAATGGAGAAGGCTGGATCGCTTGACACTGCACTTGGCGCTGACACAAACCCGTCTGAAGATGAGGATATGGGCTTTCATACCTTCCTCCCTTCAATGCTGAGTCTTGCTTCTGCCAAGACGCGGGCCAAACGGCCCATGCCCGTACCACCCATGCCCCAAGCCTCTGCGGGGGGGTGAGGGCAAGCTGCGGAAAGTTTCAAAACCAGGCAGTGCTCCATCAAGTCTTCCCTCAACGCCGGCTAGTAGTGCTCTCGGCATTCGAACACCAGAACCACTAGAGCCTGAGCCACAAGAGCCTGAGGCGAAACCGCGAGACAAGAAGTCTATGGAGAAGTTGAAGAAAGCCCGTGAATTTATTGATGCCAAGAAGAAGGCTTTCTCTGATGAGAACCTCTGGGAGGGAAAAATGAAGAGCCGAGCCTTCCAGTCTTTGTCTACTCAAATGGAGCAGAATGCCCACAAGATTCGAGGAATTGACACGGATGAACCAGAGGTGGATTTTCTGGTGGAGCTCATGCTGGATTTTTCTGAAAAGGTCAATGCAAAGTACGAACTTTTTCAGAAGATGAAAAAGGACCCGGCCAACATCCTTGGAAACATGGAGAGCGAGGATCTGGACGTGTTTTGCAGTCTTTCTCCTGCGCTGTTTGCCAAGATCGTCATCTGGTTGGGAAATTCTCTGCTCAAGAACGCGGAGGACAACTGTTTGCATTGAAATCACATGAAATTATATCTCCAAATTTCGTTGCGCCTGTCTCTGTAATAGGTCCAAGCAGTATGCATCCCGCTATGAAATTCTGTCTGGAAATAACTTACCCATTAGTTAAAGACATGGCGGATCATTCACACCAAATAGAGAGATGACATGCCTGGGCGCTCGGAAATCATTTGTGGAGAACTGCTCAGCCCTCATCTTTTGTCTCCACGTGGAGCAATGCATTGATGCGCCAGGATCCAGCAAACTCGGTGGCGCTTTTCAAGTTGATGAGCTTTGATCCTACCGACGGTGCCCTCACCCTGTACCACTACATGACTGCTGCAGGTGGCAAGGTGAAGGGATTGGCTCATGGGATTTCGCTACAGCAGCAGCTGCTGAATTTGTGGCATGAACGGATCTGGAGAATGAAAGGCCAACAAATCATTCGATCGCATCTCGGCCCAGAAACTTAATCTTTGTCATTCTTGGCATGTTTTGCCCATCCGCGCAGTCTGGGGTTGTCAAGCAAAGCATGTGTTGTTAAGCAAGTTCCAGGCTGCCGTTGAAGGACTTCGACCTCTCCAAGTTGCCCCCTGACTGGGCACCAGCAGATGCAAACGATCATTTGGAATCTTATTGCGCGGCTGTTCGTTTGGAAATGCAGGCCATCAAGGTGGCAGCAGTTGATTTCCAAGAGGACTGGGTAGGGTCAGAGTTGGGAAGTGTCAATTCGCCGGGTATCTAGTTTGACGCCCAATTGGCGGGCGGCTACCTGATGCACATTGACATCATCTCGTTGGTTGTCCTGGCCATTGTCTACTGCGCTTGGGCTCCCAGTCTTCGTGGGAGCAGGAAATAGCAGGAACACTTTTTTTTGTATAAATCAATTATGAAACATCATCTTTGAAGGCCATGAAGAAACTATTCAAATTGAAATGGCCAACCCTTAGACTTAAATGAGAGTTACTAGAACATGCCCTGTTTGTCAGGCGATATCCCGAGTTTGAGCTGGAAGGTTAACAGAGCCAAATCAAAGGCAACCAATCCTAGTCCTAGTTAAGTTACCTTTGTTAGATTGTTTGGGTGGGTTCTCGACGAGGGAGTCGAAGGGCTGAGCGTTTCTCCAAAGGTTGTTTCCTTCTGCGGAACATGGATGAAATTGGCATGTTCACCATGACAATGAAAACCTCACTAGATGAGCAACGCCCATCTCCTGGTTGGAGGGGTTGGGGCAGCGTGTTGGGAGCGGATGGAGTGGAGGGAGTCGAGGGACCGACGCCGAGTGTTGATGTGTTGCTTGGGTGTTTTTCCAAAAATTTGTTCCCTTCCCCTGTGCGGAACAAGGATGAAATTGGCATGTTCACCATGTTCACAGCAAGTTCTTCGGTTCGTT